AAATAAAGGTTTCGATTAATTCAAAAAGATTAAATAATTTTGAAGCTTTTGTTAACTCATTTTTGATAATATCCTTCAATCTTTTATAGAATTATGATTTTAGATAATTATCATTTTATATAATATATCTAGTGTATTGTTGAAACTTGATAATATAGATTGTGATTGATCTAATTTGTTTGAATTGTTATAATACTCTTTCAATTATATAATCAGGATTTATTTTCTCGAATACCTTATCAAATCCCTATCTGAACAATTTATAATTAAAAAAAAGATAATGAATCTCAGATTTCATACTCTCATTCAATTGATTATTAGATCATTGAAAAATGATTCAATTCAATTGAATATAGTTTCATAGAAAAAGAAGATCAATTATAAAATTCTTTATATAAAAATCAAGAAAAGTTATCTATTAAAGATATAATAAAAATCAATTTATATAATAAAAACTCAATGCTTGTTATAATCTTTATAAAATAAATCAAAAATGAATATCTGAATCGTTTGTTTATATTCTATAATAATAACAATCTGAATAAGAGCCCCGATTGGATTAAATAGAAACGATTCGGTGAATTACTAATTGAAAGCTATTATATTATATATAATTTAATTATAATGATACTCAAAATATAACGATCTGGTTAAAATAACAACTACCTCAGATTTTCGTTTAATTGATAATTGTAAATTAAAACTAATAATTATTGATTATCTATTCAAAGGTGAATACATTATTAGATTAATTGAAATATAAATAAACTAATTGATAACTAAATTAAATATAAAGCTTTTAAATTATGAAACTATTTTAATTATATATTAATCTATTTCAAAAGCATCCAGAAGCTTATATTTTTGAGAATTTCAAAAAGCTTATAAGAGTTTATACTTTTAAAAGCTTCATTATATGATTAGGATCAGATTATATGTCCGAGCTTGCTAAAGATGGGGAGACTATATGAAGCAGTTGCCATACAAATTAGTATACAGATTGCTTGGCTTTTCAGGGAGGTCTAAGCTCATAAGGACAGGTTGACTGTTACCCGTAACACTTTATAAAATGATTTCGTGACACTATTATATAATTAGGATCAAATTATATATCTGAGCTTGTTGAAGATAAGGAGATTATATAAAGTAGTTGTTATATAAATTTATATACAAGTTACTTTGCTTTTCAAAGAGGTTCAAGCTCATAAGGATAGGTTGACTGTTACTTTATAATATTCTATAAAATGATTTCGTGATATAATTGTTCTTTATACAAGATCTGTAATATCAATAAATTGATAGATTATATATTTATATTTCGATTTATTCTTTTTAATATAAGATTATAATCATTTTAATAATCAATATATATAATTATATAATTATTATATATATATATAAATACTCTTTACAAGTTATAGCTTTTCAATTATAAATTTTAAAGAATATAATTAACTTTATTTATTCAAGTTTTATAAGGCTCTTGTATATTATAAAAATCATTCAATTTATTTAATTTAATTTTATTCATTTAATTCAATTCAAAATAATAATAATAATAATAATAATAATAATAATAATAATAATAATAATAATAATAATAATAATAATAATAATAATAATAATAATAATAATTAATATTAATTAATATTATTACAGACCTTGTATAAGGACGATCACGTGATTCTAATTGATCACTAACTTTTACCAATGAGTTGATAGTTTGTATATATCTTGTTAGATTTTTTTTAATATAAAATTATAATCATTTTAAGATAAATGTAACGATCTAATCGAGGCAGCGGCTGCCTCAGGTTTCGTATAGTTGGTAGTTGTAGGTTAAGGCTAATAATCACAGATTATCCACTCGAAGGTGAATATATTACTAGATCAATTAGAATATAAGTAAACTAATTGATAACTAATTTGAGTACGAAGCTCTTAAACTATAAAACTATTCTGATTATATACTAATCTCTTTTCTTATACTAGCTGGCTAGTAGAGCTAGCACATCACGTGATTGAGGATCAGACTATATGTCCGAGCTTGCTGAAGGTGGGGAGACCATATGAAGCGGTTGCCATACAAATTTGTATACAAATTGCTTTGCTTTTCAAGGAGGTCCAAGCTCGTAAGGACAGGTTAACTGTTACCCCGTAACACTCTATAAAATGATTTCGTGACACAAGCTTTTTATTAGATTTATTTATCAAAGTATTTTAAATTAATCAGATTATCAAAATCGCAACTCATTTAAATAAGTTTTTCATTTTTTATTATCTATTAAATAAACCTTATATACTCTCAAAGAAGGTTTATTACAGATTTTATATAAATAATAATTATATAATTTCAATTGATTAATAATTCCTATTAATAAACTAGTAGACTATGTATTTGAGTTTCGATTTACTTTTTTAATTATAGAATTATAATTATTTTTCTCAGAGGAGGGTAGTCGATAATAAATAATAATTATAATAATAATAATATTATTATTTATATTAATAGTGGAAGACTTAGTCATGTTTAAGCTCAATAGAGTAAAGCCGAATATAATCATAAATTGAAGTCAGAATAATGAAGTAGAGATTTTATTGTTTTTCTACCTTGTTATTTTAAAGAATTCTTTAAAGGAAACCTTTGTATTTATAGTATTTAATGAAATTCTAGTATATTCTATAATTAATAATAAGATAAATTTGAATCGAATCTTATAAAATCATTTTATATAATAAAAAGAAATAATATTCAATAATATTCAATTTAATAAATAAGAAATTCCATACACTTTCATTTTATTTTATTCTCTTATAAATCAATCTGATATAAATTATAATCAAATTTTTATATGATAATGAAATTTGATAATATAAGTAAATATTATTGATATATCACGTGATCATCCAATCATTGGTTTGGTTAATATTATTAAGTGATTTAATAACTTATTGAAAAATCTCATAATATTATTTGTATTATTTTTAATGTTATTTATAATAATAACAATTATTTATTATTATTATTATTATTATAAATTGAATGAGATGAATTAAATAAATAAAATTGAATTGAGTGATTTTAATAGATTTAAATAATTTAAATGATTTCAATTAAATTAAATTGAAAAAAACTTCAAGTCAGATTTATTTAAGATTGTAAGATTTATATTAAGCTTTTTGTTAGATTATTTACCAGGGTATTTAAACCAAACAGATTATTAAGATTATAATTTATTTAAATAAATTTCCTATTTTCTATAATTTATATTAAATAAATTATAATAAATTATATATAAAATAAGGTTTTGGTATTAATAAATTAATAATAAATCTAAATTTTATTTAATAATTAAATTATTTAATTTTATATAAATTTATTGATATTAATATTATTTAAAAGTTAATTCTTTAAATTAATAAAATATTCAAATTTGAAATATATTAAATTATTAATTATAAAAATATTATTAAATAAAGTTGAAAATTATTTAAACTTTTTTATTTTAAAACTAATCTCATAATAAATAAAGCTGTATTTGAATAATCTAGTCTAAATTGAATCACGCTGAGAGCAAAAGTACCTCGAGGGATACTTTTTCTTGCTTTGTAAGCTTGATTTTGTATAGGAGTGATTTGCCGGCCTAATCACAAAGTTTATATCTTAATAGGATTACAGATTTGTGAGGTGCAACAGAAACAGTGGTTTGGAAAATGGATACCATTTTTGACGCTATTTTGATCCACAATCCAAATCAGATTCAGAGTGGCAGGAGAACGCTTTCGAGGCAGATGCAGATGCAGATGTATACTGTATTGTGTTGTGCCGGCGGGACAAGTCTTTCCGTTGCGGTGGATCGGTCGTATTACAATCCGACTTCGGACCCATCCGGAATAGCAAAGCTCCTTCTGATACTTAACCTCACTATCCTCACGATCATCCAACAACGAAGAAATTTCATTTCTTACATCCACTTCGTAGCAACTCCAGAAGATTAAACGGGAATAGCTTCATTTTCAAGAATCCACATCACCATTCCTATATAGGATCTAACCTTCCCTTATCAGAAAAGGCTCTATTCCAACCTTTTCTCTTCTCTTTTCCAATACACTATATTGTACCCCACTACAGTCAACCAAAAATTACCATACAGCATATATATTTCTATTTCTCAGATCCAATCCGAATTCCAAACCAATTTCCCCTTTTATCTATCCGCAGTCTTTTACCGCATAAATCGGTATAACAAATACAACCTGCATAAACAAGACAAACATCGATTCTTTTTCCCTTGTTCCTCGCTATCGATCAATTAGATGTCAATGATACAGTTTACGCCTCAGCCCTGCAGGTGCAGCTAGAACTATTTGATGGGGTTGGGCATAGCACAACGGTAGTTTACCCACCTTCAGCTGCACCTCGGTATCCACCAACATAGGTAAGTAGGTAAGCGAGATTTCGTTAAGACCCTGCGAGATTTCTTCTTTCCCAATTACATAGCAATTGAATGGTGCGGCACAGCACCCTGCCGGAGGATAATAAGCGGGTTGGGGTATAGAAGCATGTGGTATTGGTGTTGGATGGTGTATTTTTGAAAGGATAACAATAGGTTGATGGGTATCTGCAAATTAATGGATTATTATTGGCTATAATCCATAGTTTAGGTGGACTGTGGATTTCACAAATAACCCGTGAAATACCCATTCGGATTTCCCAATTGTCCGCTCCGCTGATGGGTAACCCGCGGGTCCCCTGCTAGACTAATAACCTGCCCTGTGGAGCCCTGTTGTTGCAAATAACCCGCGGGGCGGGTTATTCTGAAAGTCTAGCTAATACGAAGGCTTGTCTTAATTGAGGTCCCGGCCTCCATAAGCGCGAGTGCACGAACCGGGCCCTCAATTAAGACAAGCCCTCGTAGCTCTAATGGGAACCCGCAAGGTGGATTATCTGCGGGTCCCCACGGGTTGCAGGTTATTTTTGCGCAGCCTAGGAATAAGGCTTTTAAGCCTTAAGCAATATGTATAATGACTTAGTGGCGCCTTTCCCAATGGGTGGCTTAATTTGAAATGATAATATTCCACTTTTAAAAAGGTGGTATCGCCATTTCAGACGCTCCTTTTATTATAAGAGGGATGGATGATAGACTGTATTTACAACGCTATATCAAAAATAAGAACGTCTAGAAAATATCAGCGGCGACAGTTGTGACAATATATACCGACTACCACCAATATTACCTACCATACTGCCACCATCGCAGAACTCCAGTAGTAGTGCCATATCATGGTTCGCTACCCTTCTCGCATCTGGAGGCAGCGGCTCTTTAAAGCTACCATATGCACATGTCTAATCCTCTTTCTCGCGCACAAATTCCAGCTCCGTAAAATCTTGCTGGCACGACGGTACGACACCTGGCCCTGGGATCACAGCTGCTACAGGCTCTCCCCCTTCAGCAGCGCATGCGCCGCATCACGTGCAAAAATTGCGCACGACGTGCAAATCGTTATAGAGACGGGCGGTTCCGAGCCAAAGGCCAGACTGCAGTATCAGCTTGCGACGATACTGTCTGGTATTCCGGCTGAGAATATTTTGATATTCTCGGATTTGGAGGAGGAGGTCGGGGCTTTTCGGATACGTGATGCGCTAGCGGATGTTTCGATGCGGGAACGTGGGGAGTATCCGGAATTTGCGTTTCATGATGAGTTGCAGATGTATCGGCGGGAAGGGAGGGATACGCACGAACTGGAGGGAGGGCAGAAGTTGGCGAGGTATAAGAATATGGCTATTAAGCGTATGATTTGGAAGATGTTGGGGGCCGAGAGGAGTGCGCTGTGGAGGCGGAAGTGGTATGTTTTTATTGATACGGACACTTTTATCGAATGGGATAATCTGCTTGCGTTGCTGGAGCATTTGAACCCTATAAAAAATATGTATATGGGGAGTCCGGTTTGGGGCCCTACACCCCCGTTTGCGCACGGTGGGAGTGGTTATGTATTCTCGTACAAGGCCTTGGAGACACTTAATATGCCTGGCCGGGGTGGCGACGAAGAGTTAATGTATAGCCAGTATGGCGTAAACACGACCGCGCTGTGCTGTGGTGATGAGGCTTTGTCGGTGGCGCTGAAGCGGAAAGGCATCGAAATCAAAGGGTATTGGCCTTTGTTTAACGGAGATCCACCAGTGACGATCAATTTTGGGCCCGAGATGTGGTGTGAGCCGGTAATTTCCTTGCACCACGTCACTGGGACAGACATGGAAGATCTATGGCGATGGGTCGAGAACTGGAAATCCAGAGCAATGAGCATGGTATGGTATCGATTTATATTCGAACCCCTTCGCATATTGTCTCCTGATTCTCTGCGTTCAACATCAATACTGTACTAAGTATACTTATCATATAGCAACCCTTCCTATTTAGAGATTTGTTCGAGTACGTCGCTTCGCAACTAGTTCACAGGATGAATGATTGGGACAATACAGACGACGGGTGGAAAATATTTCACCATGTTAAGGGTACCAAGAAAGGCGCTTTGGCATCCTTTGAGCAGTGTGAAGCAGCCTGTGAAGCAGACAACCTGTGCTTTCAGTTTGTCGTCAACGGAACCACATGCGCCCTATCACACAACATCCGGGTTGGCAGGAAGCGCCTGCCAGATACAGAAGGAGCGCACCGGTATATCTCAGGATGGAATTTGCAGAGAATTCAGGACTGGACGACGAAGACGAAGTGCACGAGCGCGCATTGGGTGCATTCAAATCCGTGAGTACGGTATTGGTATTGAGCTGGTTGTGATTCGCTTTATAGAAATGTGGTGTTGAAGATCGATGTACAAGCAACATTGTTCTTGGGCTCTAAGAATTGTCATCGCACAGCGTCTGTAAAGCAGCAAGAGTCTAAGCTCGTTAAATTTCTGGCGGCCTGAGAATAAATGGTTAAGCGAAAGTGTTTTTAACGGTTTCGTATAAGATAACGGGTGTTACCATCTCCGAAGGTAGAACCTCGACTAGCCGAAAAGGGGCCGGTGGTTCCGAATGTTTCTGTCACGATTTACGATTAAGATAAGGATATATTGAGGGGCAGCAGTCAACATGTCCATATAAGTTTAGGCCTTATCGAAAAGCAAGGCGATTTGTATACAAATTTGTATAATAATCGCCTCATATGATCTCCTCATCTTTAACAAGCTCGAACATATAATCTGATCCTAATCATATGATAAGAAACCCTAAGAGCTTCGAAAGCTCCCAAAGCTCCAAAAGCTTTTTGGAGCTTTAAAGTTCTATAAAACTTTTTTATATTCATTAATATATAATCAAAATAATTTTATAATTTAAAAACTTTGTACTCAACTTAATTATCAATTAGTTTATCTATATTCCAATTAATCTAGTAATATATTCACCTTCGAATAAATAACTAATGATTATTAATCTTAACCTACAACTACCAATCAAACGAAAACTTGAGGCAGCTATTGCCCCAACCAGATTGTTATATATAACTAGTATTTTTATAATATTAATTTTACTAATTGATTAATAAAGTTAGTAGAATTAGTATATTATATAATTAATTCTGAAATCTTTTCTATTCTAAAACTTTTTCTTTTTTGAAATATTTATTTCAAAAACTTTCCTTTTAAAAATTATAGTCTTAGAATATAATATCTTTTAAAATAATTATTTTATTTTAATTAATTAAATAAAATATTTGTTTTATTCTATTATAATTGTTTAAAATACTTATTCTAAGAATATTAAGATTTTAAATTTAAATAATCAGGACTCTTAAAAATAATAATTAAATCATACCTTTTTTATAATTAATATATAAATCATTGATAACAATAATATTATTATAATAAAAACTATAATTTGTAATAATATATTTATAATCTTTAATAATTTATATTTTTAATATTAATAAGTTATTATTAAATTTGTTTATTATAATAATATAATTAATTAAATCGAATTAAAAAGTTATTATATTCAAATCAATATTAATAATTATAATTTCATTCGAATAATAATTTTGTAAGTTTTCTTTTATAATTTTGATATTAATTTAATTATTTTTAATAAACTATTAAAAATAATTCTTTTTTTTAATATAATTCTAAAAGTTTAATTTATTAATTTGATATATTAAAATATTAATAAAAGAATTATCTTTTCTAAAATAATATATAATAACGAAATAGTAATTAATTAATATTTTTATTTAACAAATTTATTAAGTATTAAAAGTCTTGATAATTATAAAATATTCGAAAGTTTTATAATCATATAACGATCTGGTTGAGGCAACGGCTGCCTCAGGATTCGTCTGGTTGGTAATTGTAGATTAAGGTTAATAATTATTAATTATTCATTCGAAAATGAATATATTACTAGATCAATTGGAATATAAGTAAACTGATTGATAACTAAATTGAACACGAAACTTTTAAACTATAAAACTATTCTGATTATATATTAATGAATATAAAAAAGCTTTGTAAAGTTATAAAACTCTAAAAAGCTTCTAAAGCTCTAGGAGCTTTCGAAGTTCCCAAGGCTTTTTATCATATAATTAGAATCAGACTATATATTCAAGCTTGCTAAAAATAAGAAGACTATATAAAACGATTACTATACAAATTTGTATACAAATCGCCTTGCTTTTCGATAAGGCCTAAACTCATATAAACACATTAACTACTGCCCCTCAACATATCCTTATCTTAATCATAAATCATGACAAATCGATATAAATCTTGATTTTATATAAAAAGTTAATAAATTTTGTTTTCTAATAATTAAATAATTAAATAATTAAATAATTAATAATATTTTTGTTACAAACCTTATATAAAGAACGATCACGTGATTCTAATTGATTGACAATTCCTATCGGTGAGTTGATAATCTATATATATTTTTTCAAATATATTCTTTTTAGTATAATATTATAATCATCTTACAAAAGAAAGTGTATAATTATACAATTATTATATAGTATTATAAGAGATGCGATCTAGATTATATAAAAGTGGCCTGGATCCTTGAAAGGTGTATAACTAAATATCAAACAAAGGCTTTAAATAATATTAATAATTACAATTTATAATTAATAATAGATTATATTAAATAATTAATTATTACGATTTACAATTAAGATTATAATGTATTAAAAGACAATAGTCAATTTGTTTATATAAGTTTAGATCTTATTGAAAAGCAGGATGATTTGTATATAAATTTGTATAGTAATTGTTTTATATAATCTTTTTATTTTTAATAAACTCGAATATATAATCTGATTTTAATTATATAATAAAAAGCTTTAAGAACTTCGAAAACTTTTAAAACTTTAAAAACTTTTTGAAGTTTTAAGATTTTATAAAATTTCTTTATATTTATTAATATATAATTAGAATAGTTTTATAATTTAAAAACTTTATATTCAATTTAATTATCAATTAGTTTATTTATATTTTAATTGATTTAATAATATATTTATTTTTAAATAGATAATTAATGATTATTAATTTTAACTTACAACTATTAATCATACAAATTCTGAAATAATTATTATATTAATCAGATTGTTATATTTTGAATATTATTATAATTAAATTATATACAATATAATAACTTTCAATTAACAATTCATCGAATTGTTTTCATTCAATTCAATCAGAACCTTTATTCAAATCATTATCATCTTGGAATACAAACGAACGATTCAGATATCTATTTCTAATTTATTTTATAGAAATTATAACAAATATCAAGTTTTTATTATATAAACTAATCTTTATTATACCTTTAATAAACAACTTTTCTTGACTTTTATATAAAAGATTTTATAATTAATCTTTTTTTTCTAAGAAATTATATTTAATTGAATCGAATCATTTTTTAATAATTTAATAACCAAAATTATCGATAATTAATTAAATAAAAATATAAAATCTAAGATTTATTATCTTTTTCTTAACTATAAATTGTTTAAATAAAAATTCGATAAAATATTCAGGGAAATAGATCCCAATTATATAATTGAAAAAGTATTACAATAATTTAAACCAAATCAATTATAATTTATACTATCAAATTTCAATAATATATTGAATATATTATATAGAATAATAATTATCTAAAATTATAATTTTATAAAAGATTAAAAGATATTATCAAAAACGAATTAAAAAGAACTTCGAAACTATTTAATCTTTTCGAATTAATTGAAATCTTTATTTTCATTAATAATTGATTTTATAAATAACAAATGAAAAAGAAATAAATCATTTAGAAAAACAAGAAATTCCAAAAACCTTATTGTTAGAATAAATATTATAATATCAACGATTCAATAAAATTAAATAATATCGAATAATGTTATATAAAGTTAAACAATTTAAATATTGATAAAAAAAAGAAATATAAAAAGAATAATTTATATTATATTTACAAAAAAAGTAGATATATATTCCAAAATTGTTTTCAAAAAAAACAAACTATTCATTATAAAAAACAAAAAATAGATGAAATTTAGAAATAAAAGATAAAATTCTTGAAAAATAAAGATTTTAAAAGAAAGTTTAAAAAAAATAGGATTATTAGAAAAAAATCTATCTCAATTCAACTTTAAATGATTAAAGGAATTGAATATCAATAATCAAAACTTTAAAATTAATATTAAAAACAATATTGATTATAAAAAAGAATTTTGAAAAGATTTCGAATCAAAAAACAAAAAATCAATCAAGAAACTTGAAAAAAATCAACAATTAATTGAATCCTTTCGTTTATTTTAGAAAAATAAATTATAATATTTAATCAACTATTTAAATAAGAAATGTATATAATATTATTATAAAAAAAAGAAATCTGATTTTATTAAAAAATATAAAATTTATAATTATTTTATTTTGTTAATATTTTATATAATAATATTTATTATATAATATTTAAGGAAAATACTAAAACAAATAATACTAAAAGATATATTATAAATATAAATTCTTTATTCTTCAATAAAATCTAGAAATATAATAAATATAATCTAAAAGTTGAAAAGATATAAGAAATCCTATTATAAATCGAGACTTATTATATTTAGTAAAGAATCGATAGAAATAATAAAGAAACATCAAATTATAATTATTATCAAGATTTTCAAATAAAATCAATAGGATTATTGTTTATTATATTTTATCGATTATTGAATATAAACAAATATTAATAGGAATAATTGAATCTTTTATTAAAAACAAATTATTGAATCATTATTGTTAGAATTCAATAATTTTATAGAAATCGAATAATTAATTATAGAAATTAAATTAAAAAACCAATAAATTAATACCTTGATTGATTCTAAAATTATAAGTATATTTATAGATTCCAATTTTGTTAAAGAAAATAGAATTTCTATAAAATTAAAACAAAATCTTTATTAATTGATATTATTAAAAGAAAAGAAGATTAAAATTGATAATTAGATATACAAAAAAATCAATATTGTTAAGATGATTATATTAAACAAATATATCGAATAAATCAAAATAAATTTAATATTATTAGATAGATATATTATTGTTCTTGGTATTTTATAAATTAAGAAATACAATTCAAATATCAATTAAATAAAAAATATCTTAATATTCAATTGTTGTAATTATGATAACGAATGATTATATAATCCGAAAAAACAGACTTTCGAAAAGATAAAATATTATATTATAATAATAATAAATCTTTTATTGATCAATAAAATCGATGAAAAAGAAATCCTAGTGTAATATAAAAGATTCGTTAAGTTTTTTGAAGATTTATAAGATTTGAAAACCTTACTAGAATATAAGTTTTGAAATTATAAAATCAACTTTAAAAAAGGATTTGTATCTTTTATTGAAAAATTGAGATTATATAATTCTAATATTATATAAATATAAAAGGAATATAAGATTAAAACTAAAAAGAAAAGATAGATTAGAAAATCCGAATCCTTTTGTATATTTAATATATTATTGATATTCAAAAAAGACAATCCAGATAATTGATTTTGCAAAGATTATTATCGAATTAATAATGAAACAATTAGAGATATATATTTAATATCAAAAACTCAGAAACTCAGAGATAAATTAAATAGAATTATAATTTATATAAAATTAGATCAAAGAAACAT